CCCCCTCCTCCTGTAATAAAGACCAGACACTGCTGTCTCCTTGTGCAGGGGGACTGGTCTGGTCTCCGCCCCCTTCCTGTAGTTTCCTGTAGTGGGTGGGGCCTCCCACTGCTATGCTCTCTGCACAGGCTATGTAAAGCACAGTGATGATGCCACTGCTACTTCTATAAGCTGATATCTGGGTATGCAAAGGCATTTGTGGATTTGTATCCTCCGTGGCTACTGGGGGAAAAATGTAAATGAAAGTTGCCACCGTACCCAGAGCTTTACAATAAATGCAGAATCACAGGGAAGAGTGAATAGTCTATTCCTGTATTACAATATATGTAATATATTGCAGCATACCAGTCCTTAGATGTGGTGCCTGCATTCGTTTTTCTCCTTTATGTTCACCTGGTGATCCTGCCAGTAACACACTTCCTGTCTGAGGGTGACAACGCTCACATAACGTTCTGTATCTATAGTGGAGCAGTGTTGTCATCTTCGGACAGGACTACTAAACATTCCCCAACTCTCCTCTTCTCCATAACATAGGGAGAAGGTGCCCTGTAGTCCAGGGAGGCAGTTGGGAAGAATGTCACTGATACCAGTCACAGGAAGTTATCAGCTCACTGGATTTTTGGCAGGATCAGCAGGATTTTTTTTTTGTTTGCACTTATCTGAAAACGTTTTCAATAGCATGTTTAACAGACCAAAAAGGTAGAATATAAGAGTCCATTGTCAGGGCCAATTCAGACCTTGGAGCCCCGATGCGCCCTGGGGCGCTGCACAATTTTTTTCACACGTTAAGGCGCGTGACGTTTCAAACAAAATGGGCTGGCAGAGCACCAAAATGAAAGCTTGAAACACAAAGCGCACAGCTCACCCCTATCATGCGTCCTTGTAATCCACATTCGCTGCACAGGTGCAGTCTCTTCTGGAGTGATCGGCCCAAAGACTGTAGAACCAGCACACGAAGAACTTCCAACGACATTCAAACTTTATTCCACTTGCATCTATACAAAGAACAACCACTGACGCGTTTCTGCCTTACTCGGCCTTAGTCGTAACGGTTGTTCTTTGTATAGATGCATGTGGAATAAAGTTTGAATGTCTTTGGAAGATCCTCGTGTGTTCGTTCTACAGCCATATAGCACCAAAATGCCTGAACCTAAGGACATGCACTATTTTTGGCAATGCAGTGCACCACCCACAGTGGTGCATTACCATGCATTGTGGAGCGCAGCAATGCACATCCATTGGAGCAGCATTTTCTTAGTGCGTTGGGGGTACTGCACCACTAACACACTTAAAGGAGAACTATGAGGTGATTGATTTACACTCATCCTCATAGTTCGAGCCGACGTGTGACAATGAGACTGTCACACGTCTTCTCTATAGATTGGGAAGTGAGTGAACACATCCCGTCGCTCGCTCACTTCTCAATCATCTCCCTGCAGAGAGCTGTGACTGTCACTCACCGTTCCCCGCAGGGATTTCCCCCTCCCCTCTCCGATCCTCCAGCGCTGAGTGGAGGAACGGACAGGACGGGCATGGTGATCTTTGTATATAGTGAGCAATAGCCCGCTATATACGGAGCTTTGGGTCGGGGAGGACGTTAGAATAGGTTCTCCTGTGACCCTTAAGAGAACTATGGGATAAAAAGGTTACCCCATAGTTCTCTTTTAACATGCATTTATGTGCGTTCCCTGTAAAGCACCACACTGTGAGTCACTGTTCACACCTGAGCGATCCGTGAACGCGTGGCAAACGCGCACAAAAGGTGTGCCATTACCAGCTAGTGGCACCCCAAAAGCGTCTTGAAGAACAAAGCAGAGGACAAAAACACAGAATGCATGTTGCAGTTTTGCTACATGCACTACTTTCCCATGTTCGTCGCATGTGTTGAAACCATTTACTAAAGTGGTGAGGGGCAACCAAAGTTTCAGCTGCCATGAAACCCGGACACAACATTCAAAACCCGGACTGTCCAGGTGGCAACCCTACTCATGATGCATCTGCCTGTGGCTGTCAGAGTCTTGCAATGCCTCTTGGGATTTGTAGTTTCACTACAGCCGGAGGGCTGAAGTTTGGCTGCCCCTGACCTAGACACACGTTCTGTCTCATTGTCCATAGCAACTGATTTTTTTTCCACACAGCTTAGAAAATGAAATGTAAAAGCTGATTGGCTGGTCTCCAGAGCTGCTTTTTATTAACGTGACACCATAACCTCCAATCCCTCACAGCCAAGGAAGGGGCCATCTTGGCCTCTCTTTGGATTGTAGTTGCCATGGTGCTGCCCGTGTGATCAGCTATGACACCAGCTGTTTGAAGCCATAACAGTTTGGCTGAAAGCCGTAATAAGCACTCTGGTAACCTTGACAATCAAACGCATTAAAACCGCAGAACCCTTTTTACAAAATCTGCAACATTAGCTTTTTTGCCCCTTTTGTCACGTTTCATGCTGCATTGAACTCAATAGGGATGCACGGCAAACGCAGCACACAAACCCACACAGGTGAGAATGCGGGGTTACTGTTCTGAGACATTAAATTGGTGGGGAAAATTCCTCTCTGATTCCCCCCTTTGTAAATCCATTTACATCTTTTCAGGGTCAGTTCTTCATATTTTACATTTCCCCTCAATTTCTGTCCAGGAAATGACCGTTACTGAGACAGGAAGTGGCAGTAATATTCCCCAGGGGGTAAAAAGACAACAAAAACACAGGGGCTCTAACTCCTCAGACTTTAGGGAAAAAAATGGCTGCTCCCCTCTAAACCTGATCTCCGGCCTTCCTTTCAGGCTTGCACAGTTGTACCGGCTCCTCTCCTGGACTGAAATGTGCATTGAAAGTGCAGTAAATCAGACAGAGCTCGCCTTATTTGCTGGCTGGGGGACATCCAACATCATCTAGGCAGTGGCATATCCAGGGCATGGCACATGAAGAGGAAGGTGGGGTGCCACTCCATGGGTCAGCATCTAGGCCCCATCCTGACTGTCCCTGGCCCACCCCTTTCCTTCTTTGGATTTCAGTCCTTCCAATCATGGAGGCTCAGCATCACATGTGGATGTTACCTAGGGTGGTCTGCCTGCAAATACAGCCTGCCTAGGAATGCCTACTCCTCCAGACTTACACCTGCCCATAAAATCATTGTGATATTTGCATAACTCCTCCCAAAAGCCATCCCACTGTTTGCATCAGGGCTGAGAGTTCTTGAGAGGAGTATTGAGGCAGGGTGTATGTATGTGTATGTACAGCACCCTGCCGGCCATGATCTCCCAGCATTACATTGAAAAGCAAAAAGGACCTAGTGATGACACCACTGGGTCTAAAATAATATATGTAATGAAAACAGATTTTTTGAAATTTTTTAAATGTCATTAATATGCTATGCTGATGGGGGGATGGGGGGGGAGCAAAATATAAGCAGAATAAACTTCAGCTTTAAATACACTGACTGCTTAGGGATGCTATT